ACGAACCTCTGATGTCTGCAAAAAGAAGAAAACGTCGACGCGTGCTGGAACTTCTGAGTGTATTCGAGCAGGGCATGTGCTTTTGCAGCAGTAAAATGTTATCTTTAGGCATTGCAATTACGACCTGAATACTCTTTTTTTTCAATATTCCTGTCGGCTTTTATGGGAGACAGACAAGACAAAAGAGTTTCACAACTTTCTGTCACGAATACCGCTCAAGTTCAATTTTCGTCGAAGGTCGTATCGTAGGAAACGGCGCTTTTTGCAATTATTACTAGGCAACCACTTGTGGGACAATCAAAAAGTCAGAAGAATGAGAAATGTACATGAAGGGGCCGGTAATGACTCACCTTTCCATGAAGTTGACAAGGACAGTAGGACATATCGGAAGAAAGCAACAGTACGGATTTTGGGACAACAGTACGGAACAGTTCCCTATTGACACCACGTAGGAAACAGCAATCAGATGTTAGCAACCAGAAGTAGTTGAAAACAATTTGTTGGCGATTTGGAAATAGTTGACTAAAGTCTAAAGTAGAAAAGTTGAGGCTGATATGTAAATCACCTCAGCTTTCAACACACGCTGAACCTACCATTCCCAAGCTTTACACCACAGTTTCTTGAAGTACACAGAAATCAGGGTAAGTATAAGATAGAACAACGAAATCAAAGGCAGCAGTTTAATCGGCAGTGTATTTTCAACAGATCTGTGGACACCATCCTTTCCATGTTAGGCCTCATTCCGATCACCAATCAATCGCTAACATTCTCAAACTAGGCTACGCCCAAGTCGAACGGACAACGGCCCTGATCGAATGCCCTTGTTTATCGCTTGACGCCATTCATTTGCGCCACACGGAGACGCCCGCCACCGCCCAAGCCTAACTGCAGGTGAAAATGACGCCATTTCGCGCAATCATCACTTTCCCCGATGGCAAACTCAAGAACATAGCATCGTACTTCGGATCTATCTGTAACATTTTCAGTTTAAATCAGACACTTTTCAAACCAAAACGGACACTTCTCTAATCAAATTGGACATACACTGGGCCCACATACCATTACACTGGGCAGTTGACAATTAGACTTCACTAGGTGCCGCTCCAAGTCCCGCCCCAAGATCCCCGCCCACTTCTCATCGCGGTCACGGTTTTCCAAAATGTTCTATAAATTCTGCTTCTTCGACCTTTTCGCTTGCTCTGTCTGTCACGATTCGATCACTACAGCGCCTTATAAGCAGCGTACTACCGAAAAAGCTCCGTTAAAATTATGGAGCCGCCTGGCGAAGCCAAGCCAGCGAGGCGAGGCCGAGCTGAAGAGAAGGAGGAGAGCACGGCGTCAGCCGTGCGGTCCGACTGGTTTGCTTATATGGCACATACTCACTTCAGCTGAAAAGGGTTGGTACCGAGATAAGAGATGACGGTGAGTTGCAGTAACTTCTTGAAAACGCAGATGTGACTCCGCCCACTTTTTAAGAAGTTACCGCAAGTTTTGAATATTTTAAACTTTTTTTTCGACGTCGTTCTTTTCGAATATTCCTCGCGAACCTAATACACTCAGTACATTCGTACTCCAGCACACTGAGCTCCTCCGGCTCTCTGGCCACGCCCACTTTTGAAAAAAGATAGGCAGGCTAGAGTCCGTGCTGGAAGGTTGTGGCTTCACCCGTCACTCAGGTCAAACTTTCCATTTTTTTTTGTTATTGGTGAACGGAGAGGCCATATAACCTGCCAGCATCGCCAGCCAACCTGGATTTTTTTCAAAAGTGGGCGGGGTTCTAATAGTGGGCGTAGTCACCTGTTAGAGCATGGAAAAAATTTGGAAGACCAAAGTTCCACGAGAGACGCAAAAACAGGCGTGGCCGGAGGGGTGGGGCTTAGTGTGCTAGTGTACAAAGGCACTGCTATGAGTATATTAGGTATGTGAATAATGAATATGAAAAGAACGACATTGAAAAAAGTTATACAAATTCAAAACTTGTGGTAACTTCATTAAAAGTGGGCGGAGTCTTATCTGTCTCGGTACCAACCCTCTTCAGTTGAAGCGTGTATGTGCCAAATAGCAGAAGTGAAAAAAGTCGAGGAGGCAGAACTTATAGAACATTTAGGGAAATTGTGATCGCGCTGAGAAGTGGGCGGGGATGCTGGGGTAGGACCAGCAATACCTAGTGAGGTCATGTTGCCAGCTACCCAGTATAAGGAGTGTGGCCGATTTGATTTGAAAAGTGCCTGTTTTGGATTGGAAAGTGTTCGATTTGGTTTGAAAAGTGTCCGTTCGGTTCAAAAAGAGGCCGATTTGGTTTGAAAAGTGTCCGATTCGAAGTGGAAGTGGTGTATATCAACCTTAAATGTTGGCTAGCTATCTGGAAAAACAATGGCAACAATGTCTCACAGGAGCAACTTCTGCTTTCTCTCAACCATCAGACTTCCCGACAAACAAAACCAGATGATATAACACATCTAATAGTGGGCGTAGTCACCTGTTAGAGCATGGAAAAAATTTGGACTTTGGAGTTGCTGCTAAGTAAGAGTCAAACCTTTCCCCACTCGAATATCACTTTTTCAGTTCTTAATCGCTGAAAAATGCGTTCTTCATCTTATGCGCTAGAAAAGAATGTGGCGCACGACAGTGTGAAATCTGTCCCAACAATGAGGACACACCACAAGGCACTTACAATTCTTGAGGTCTTTTAGGTGAACCATTTCTGGAAGCGCCAGTGCTAAGTTTTTTAGAAACCGGTCGTGCAATATTACCAATCAACTAAGAAAGAAACAGTGCCTATATGGTGAGCCATTCGTGAGGTTTACTGCAGGAAACTTCTTCCTTCCTCCAAACGCTATGCTTACCAGCAGACCCTATTGAAATAGGCTGCAAAAAGTATACGAAATGCCCAACATTTGGTCCCACAACACAACAACTCTTGCCTACTCCACGACTGCTCAGAACAATGTTTAGAAAATGACACTGCTCAAGATCCTGAAGCTCAGCTGAAAAATTCTACTGCAGTCACTGTGTAGCCCTGAATTTGCTTCTTCTAATGGCGGTTTCACCTAATTTTACAGCCCATGTTCTGGCTGAAAAATACGGTTTTCAGAAGCACTTCGGAAATGACGTAACTGCCTTTGTACGGAACCAAAAAGGTTCAAAGAGCGAACCAGCTGCCTGGTTGTTGGCAACAAGTTGCCGATGAAGGTTGTATATCAAATAGGTAAAACAGCCTTGTCATTACAGCACTTTTTTCTTTGTTAACCCAACATTCAATAGAATCTAATCAGTATAATCGCCATCGCTAGCCACTAGAGTGCTCCACTTGATGGGCAGGTCATCAAAATTGAGGAGGCGGAGAAGTAGGCGATCTCTCGACTAATGTTTTTCTGAGAATTTTCATGAACAGGTTTTTCAGGAAGCTGGTCAAGTGGTAATCAGAATGAGTTATGTCAGGAGAACATGGCACACAGAGGATGGTCTCCCAACATGCTTTCAAAATTTAGGCCTCCATAGTGAGGCGGAGCCTCGCGTCGTCATGAACGAGATAGCCAGAAGCAGGCACGAACAGTTTTTGCGCGTTTGATGACTGACATAAATGGCAGCATTGACCGTGTGTCTTTAGCAGAGCAACTCGTTGTACAGCATCTTACTAGCGTCCCAGAAGCAGCATAGAAGAATCTTTTTTGCAGTAAGTGTATGTCACGATATTTCTACCGACGCTCCCGCTAGCGGTGGGAAGTTGATTCCAAGAAATAATATAGGAGCTGGGACGGGAACATTACTGGTGGGAGACAGCGTTTGATATCAGATGATAAGATCTGATAAGAGGCGTCAGAAGGGGAGGCTCATCGAGTCCATAGCGCGGTCATAGCAGTGATGGGACGTTAGTTACAAAGTGTGATATTGAGTGTGGGATAGGAACATTATTGGTGCTTCACAGGAAAAGATATCAGCTGATATCTGATAAGAGGGGTCAGAAGGGGAGGGTTACCGAGTCTATAGCACGGGTCACAGTAGTAGGTGACGTTAGTTCCAAGGTATGATAGAGGGTACGGGACAGGAACACTAGTTTGGTAGGTGACAAGAAATGCTAGCAGCTGATAAGATTTGATAAGGGGGTTTGAATGGGGGGCTACCATATTCATGACGCGGCACACAACACCAGATAGGCGCAGATAACAGCAGGTGATATAGAGGGGGATGTGGGAACGTAGACGGTGACTTACAGAAAGTAATAACAACTGATAGGGGCTGATAAGGAACGTTGCCGTCATTATTCAGTCGATGTACTGGAGCCCTAGCACCAAATGCATTATACCCACGTAACGATGTCGAGCGGCGGGAGAGGGGAAGGGTAAATAGCCTGTCTGGAACAGGAAACTCATGGGAAATCAAAAACCAGAAACCTGAATAATGACCATAGTGACAAGTTCTTTACTTTCAAGCTTTTAATTACTGATGAGAACGAATAATAAAAACGAATAATAAAGGAAGTGTTAGAAATGCACCAGTGTTCAAATATTAGCACTTGCAATCATACTTTAGCAAACGAACTGTATGGTATTGGAATAAGTTATCGCTAATCGGTGGACGTTGCAGGTGTTTCGATGCAGGAAATGAAAACAAAATTTGTTCATCTACTGAGCGATTCATATTGCGCTGTATTGGCCAACAGTACTTTCTGTCTATATCAATGCATAGTATTATGGCCCGAAACACCACCCTTCCTGCAAACGTAAGCGTGGACCCAAGACTGCAAAACCCACTGGGTTATTTTACCTATTACAATCCGATGAATACACCGCAATATGGCAGCTCAGTATAAAGGTAGCCTGGCGAAGACAGGCTAGACCGGTAGCCGGTCTGAAGAGAATAAGGAGAGCTCGGGTCAGCAGGGCGATCCGACTGGTAAAATTAATAATTAATTATAGCCAGTATTATCAGAAGAATCACTACTGTGCTAGGTCTGTTTTACTGTTTGTCTGATTCTTTGCCTGTCCGAAAATTCAACTTTACCTTAAGAGCAACTTGGACTGCTGGGATGCATGACCCATGCTCAGCCCCGAGAGATGTGGAAAAAGGGTGCACTGCTAGGAAGAGTTTGGCGGACAGCGTCCAATACTCAGAATAGACAGGGCATTCTTGAGATGGACGCTGCTCGTCACAAAATTCCATAACACAGTCCTCGAGGGAGTTCGGAGACTGAGGAAATCGTTGAAGAACGGGAACATTCAGCCAGAGCTAAGCATGCCGGTGGTGTGCTGAGAGGTGCCCTGCACAGTGCGAGGAGCGTGCACTCAAGCCCACGTCCATTCAAAACAACGGCCAACGCAATTGCAAGTATCAATATCAGCCAGTAAGAGACATGGCTATTACTCACTTTGTTCTCCTCCCCAAGTTCCATCAAATCGGCCACCTTCATTACTTCAGCCATGATGAAGCCTTTTTCAAAATCGGTGTGGATGCGGCCAGCTGCTTTTGGTGCCAGAGTTCCCTTCTAAAAGTCAAGGTTATACCAAAGTTACGCACTTCGTACTGGTGCTTATTACGTCATATTTATCAAAATGGTATAGAGAAATGCAGTACCTGGATTGTCCAAGCCTTCACCTCATCTTTCCCAGAAGTGAAAAAGTACTCCAGCTGAAGAGCTTTGTAGCCAGTATGAACAATCTGAGACCAGTACCATTACGAATACATTAGGTCATCTCATTCGAAAAAAATGTGGAGGGTTTTTCAAATAGAATGAAGAAAAGATAAAAGAAGTAATTTTTATTTCCCAGTCTCCACGGAGCGTTTAGACACCTAGCACCTTAGATTTTTTTTAACGAGTGCAAATAAAATGCTGTTGGTGCCAGCTGCTTTTCGTGTTGTTGGTGCCAGGTGTTTTTGGCAGCGTTCGCTACTGGACATCAATTTACTGGAACAGTTAAAATCGAGTACGGCGAGTACGGCTAGTACGGCGACTGAACCCATATTTCGATATATTTTTTTCTATCGGAGCACTGCGCAATAGTAATATTACTTGAGGCATGGCATTGTATGAGCACTTTTTGTAGAACAGTTTTGTCTTTTTTTAGGAAGAACCCATCTGTCAAAATCCCCGTCTAAGAACAGGCAATACTCAAGCGACGATTTTGTTTTCGGACAGAACCGCTCAAAAGCTACAGTAGCCACGATAGTATCTGCTTGAGCCCACGTAAACAGATTCGCGGCTTTTCATGTGCATTCGTTCAAAGCCGACGCTTGTGAGTTTCGGCTTAGAGGACGAAACCATCCAATTGTGGATGACGTATTAGGCGAGGCGGACAATATTGCTGTGCAAGGACCGCTTCAGCTATCGTGTCCTGAAAGAAAACGAGGCTTCCAAACACACACCCACTTGACCATTTCCGATTTTAAGGGCATGATTCAGTCAACAGGATTGTGCAGGGTTGCAGCATGAATGTCATTCTCACGGAGAAGCTCGACAGTGGCTTAGCCTTTATGATAAAACGTTCGCCTTTCATCCACTCGCTTTTCTAGTGTGAAATGTGTAGGGGCCCCACACAGCCGCTCACGATTCTTCCGTTTTTCCTTGTTTGAAGTTTTGCATCCATTCTTCCACACTACGTTTCGAGAACATCATCAGCTATTGACTTGCTCGGGATCAATTTGAGCAGCGCACTCTTCTTGTATAAAACACCCTATTCGGCAAAAAGGCGCTGATTTAGACCATTTGGGTTTCTTTTCAATTTCTCGGATTTTCTTGTGCTACCTTGCCCAAATACCACGAAATGGAACTAAATTCGAGCTTCCAAATGAGAAGCCTGGAAGCCCACAGCCCTAGCTCTTTTACTTTTCTGTCAGTCCTCTAATTTCTCTACATGAGACGATATTATCAATCATTACTCAGATAAGCCTGGAAGCCCACAGCCCTAGCTCTTTTACTTTTCTGTCATTCCTCTTATTTTCTCTATATGAGACGATATTATAATCATTACTCAGATAGTCACTCTTATCGGAACCAAATCACCCGTAAAAATTCCTGAAGCTAAACACTCACTTTGTCTAAGTTTGAACTTGTTTGATTTTCTTTCAAGTACTTGTCTCGTTCATCCTCTGGCATATCAAGTAGCTTCATCTCCAAAGCACCCGAAAACGGTATCAGAGACGCACCCGGATCATTTTTATCTATCCACTCCTTAATCTTAGGGAGCCACTTGTTCTTCTAAAAAATTCGCATGAAATGCATTAAGATCAAAGTATTTGTCAGTAATTTTCAGTCAAATATTCATCATACTTTTCGTATATAATCCTTCTCCGAAAGGTTAACCAAGTAGACGATCGGCTTCGCCGTCAAAAACAAATGTTTGTTAAGGACCTGTAAGAATGCGCTCGAAAAGAAAGTGACTCATTAAAAAAACCATATCCATCACCTCTATCTCCTTCTCATTCCACGTGTCCAACCGAATTGGTTTTTTCTCTTCCAAATCTTTCTTCACCCTCATCAAGGTATCATAGTCCACCTTTAAAATGCAGCAGCTCAGTAATATTAACAATAGAAAGTCCAGCACTGTACCTTCAGCGATTTATCACCCGCTCTCGTGACCAGCTTCTCAACCTTGTCCAATATTCCAGCCAACAGCTGTAAATCTTTGGCAAACAACTCGTCACTGATGATGTCCAGGTCACGACAGGGATCGACCTCACCTACTCGGTATTCATTTAGGCACTAAGGATCTAAATGTGAGAGAATTCTCAACACACCTTCCACATGAGTGACGTCTTCGTCCTCAAAGGCCCTCAGGAGGTGGAATAGAGCCTCGCATGCGGACACGTGGGATAGAAAAGCATTACCCAAACCCTGACCCTCAGCCGCTCCTGAAAAGATCAAGTTCTCAAAAGGATGATCAGAACTGAATTGAAGCGCATTGAGGCAACTGAAAGAGAAATTGGCTGCTCAAACAGAACCGAATGATTTGACAGTTCTCGAGATAGCCTCATAGAGAACAAACGAAAGCCTTGAATAGAGAACGAACGAATCTTTGAAGAACACCCAAATAATCCAAAGAAAGGCAAGACATCATACGTGGTGGCATTTTCTGACATTTTGACATCGTGAGTCGAGACAATTTAAAGGATGCGATTCATATGAAAGATTTTACACAATAAATGTAAATCTATTGGTTGACCCCTAAGTAGCGGCTTTTTCTAACTTCAAATCTTGTAAGGAAAATGAAAGGATTGCAAATAAGTTCTATATTATTTGGCCGAGAACTTCTAGCACTATAAGAAAAACTGCTCATCTTTTATGGATTCCCATGAATTTTCTGTCGCGAAAATGGAGTGTCAAGTCGAATATTGCATTTTATTGAGGTGCTGTGACGAGGCTGCTCGAAAGGGATGAGATATAAGGGCATGAGGCGGTGCCTTTTAGTCTGGCTCAAACTTGGCCCATGCTAGCGAAAAAAGAAGCTTCGTCGCCTCCCCCCCCCCCTCTTGCACAGCGTTGGACGCCCAGTTCACTTAGACGAAGAGCGATTGCATGGTGTACCCATGCACGAAAATTTCGAACCTTTTCTATCAAGTGTGACGTCCAATGATATGGGAGCATTCCGCATGACCCCTGCTATCCGACCGGACAAAAATTCTGCAATACTTCGGACGAATTGTTTAACAAAGAAATCAGCACCTATTTCGAACACTTTTCCCTCATGATTACTGGAGTTTGTCGGGTTTCTGTGGAAGTTTCCGGATTCGAAAACCCCAGGTTTTGCGGTACATTTCGGTGCATTTCAAACTATTTCATAATCCTGTAGGGCCACTCCGTTGTAGTCGAGGGACTAACACCCGCGTTGTCTTCAAGGAAGATGCCGTTTGCCATTCCACAGCCTCGCGGGCATGAGATCGTGGAAGCTGACCACATTCCGTCCGGAGGTAACAACGTATCGAACGGCCCTTGCAGGAAGCAATGACCGTTTGCCCGAATCCTGATGGCGCAGTCGCTGGCACGACAAGTAATTCAACATCGCGGATACCACAAGTAATTCGAATATGATTCTAGGTTGCACCCATAGAACAATTATCAAGTTTCTCCGCGACCGGCGTTATCGAGAAATTTTTCAGCAGTAGATACTATGTGAAATGCCCCGGTCTGACAAGGAGAACCGTGAGGTTGTCGGTGAATGTTTCGCTCATTTTGCGCAAGGATTTGTAATTATTTATTAGCAGACATTGTGGTTGGTAACGAGATCAGGCTCCCTTATATAAACCAGTAACAAGTGTCCGTGGGATTTACCAAGGATGCAAGAAGCCTTCGAAGTAAAAAAAAAGATTTTCACGGAAAGGAAGTTTCACTGTTCAATCAACGGCTCTCCAACGCAATGCTGCTGGAGACTGGAACAGGATCTACGGCAGGAGTTTAGTTGATGAATTCCAAAAGATGGTAGATGTCACACTCGAAGCGTTCTGTATCTGGCATCTAAGCTACTAGTGAGCAGGCGCGTGGACGCCAGTCGTTTTGACTCCCAACGGATGCGATATCAGTGTTTATGAGGTCAAACTACGCCCTACGCGCTAATTTCTGGTCAAATCGATTCTACACCAAGAAAGCTTCAATAATTTTCACTAAAGGTTAAACAAAGGCAAGGGTAGCGTTAAACAGGTTCTCTTTGCGCACTCCTGATAACGATTATTGTGAGACAGAAGAACAAACGAACAAATATTGGATTAACAGTGGGGTAGAGCGCCTGCAGACCTATCGTGAATTTCGATTACACAGCTTCTAATGAAATGAACGACCTGTCGAGACGACGAAAGGAGAAACTTTGAGAGAAAGGCAGTGATTTATGATGGTGCTTCAGTTGCACTATGACAATCCCCTAGTCAATGTGCCATATCAGCACTACACCTGCTCGCGCTGATGAAGCCTTTCCTTGGAAGACTATGAAAAATGAAGATAGAAGCTTTCGCAAGTAGTGGAGCAGGAACTTCTTAAACAGCGACGAGGAGCAGTCTTGAATGCTAGAGTTTCCAAACCGAGATTACCGCTGCGCTAATGTTTGTGGTACTGATGATAAAGTCTGGTTATGTGCCTTAAGTGCACGTACATGCATAGCATCACTGCAGAATTAAGTAGCCCGTAACCCGCCCGAGATGCGTAGCAGCCTCGGTTTCCATATTTGTAAAAAACATTCCAAACACTACCAATGTTCCTTGGTCTCTAATAAAAGTTCCATGGTGAGTTGGCTAACCTTCCTTAATAGTCTCTGAATACCATTTGTCCGCTCTCTTATGTCTCCCTTGATAAAAACATCAACAACTGACGTCAACTTGAAACGAGGTCGACAACTTCCTCCAACGCGAATGCCGTAGTCTAGAAAAGTGTAATCGGGAAGGAAAGCTGTCCTGGTTTCCAATGGTGATCACTCTGTGAACTGGCGCGCTAACAAAAGAAAATTTATTCCAAATCTTTGTCCGAAGTGACGCAATAGTTTTCGTGCAGGCTAATAGGTTTCTCGTCGTTCGGTGTGTATTCGAAAAAAAAAACATTTAGCAGCTCCTCGATGAACTGCACAGGTCGTCTATGCATATTTGCTACTCAGAAATAATAACATCTGAATCGCTTAAACGGGGCCCTGGGAAGCACTGCTTTTCAACTATTTGAAACTTCGTAAATGAGTTCTCCATCCTTCAGCAAGAAGGACGAGGGTGCTGAAAGTGTTCATTTTTTGCCAACTCGACACTTCACTGCAACCACCTAGTAACCAACCGAAATCAGTCCTCATAGAAACTACGCACACTTCTCATAGAGCACGGCACTACTCATCAAAAAGTTCAAAACAAACACATCAGCAAACATTCCACTCTTCACACAAAAATTTGGTTAGAAAAAACGCCATTATCTAAGAGTCAACCAAATATTTCCAAACTCCTTGGTGATTACGAAATGAATAGATGAAGGAAAATGAACGAACCCTTCACTAGACCAGCAATGTCGGTGACATTAAGATAAGCTGGTACTTTGCTTACAGGTTTGTAATGTTCAACTAACCAGTCGAAGCGCGCGTCGCTGACTGGGACCTGCAAATCACCTAATTTTCGGAAATTTTAATGGACAAAATCACGATGTTATATTAGGTCGTACAGTCCTCATATTGCGGACTGTCCGGGCGGCTGAGCCGTGCTGCACTGTGACGAGACAGTGCGGTTCGGTGACGGCGAATCAGCCGATTTCGATGTTCGGATGAATTCACACTTTTTCAGCTCTTCAAGCTTCGAAAGTGGGCGGTGATTATTTTGAACAATTTTGAATTGCACTGGCTCTATTTTCCTTTACTTTTATGTCTATTATTATGCTGTTTTCCTTGTATTTTGCCTTATTTCAGGCATTTATTCAAACGGCTTGCATTCTCTCAGATTCATTTAGAGCCAGTACAATTTAAAATTGTTCGAAATAACTCACCTTCCAGTTTCGAGGCTTAAAGAGCTGATAAAGTGGGAATCGCAGCCGAGCCCAATGGAAATCAGCTGATTCGCCGTCACCGAGCCGCAGCCGCTGTCGCGTCACAGTGCAGCGCGGCTCAGCCGCCCCGACAGTCCGCAATGATGAGAGCTGTATACGGACGTTACTAACAGACTGAACGAATCACAACTTCCACTCTATTATATGTGTTACTCGTTCAGTTTTTATGATAGCTAGAAGAAAATTCCACAAGAGAAGTCACCGATGACGCTGGTCCTACAAACACCGGCTGCCACTATCCACCCACTGCTGCCTCATTTTTCGAAGTGACGTCAAAATCATACATTTTGCTAGAATCTGTGCTCAGGAGTACAGCTTTTCTACGTGAACAGACGCAAGCCTGTGGGAAACCACTTGCTACTTTTATGAAAAGACCTAGGTGCGTAACTTTGTCTTTGGCAGTGTTAAAGATCTTTATAGCAATGTTTCTAGAAACGCAAACACCACAAGGATATGATCTTAACGTGATGTCTGTGAGGAGATACCACCACCATTGCTTCCTCGCTCCACGACCGGCTTGTTCGGAGGTACTCGTCTAAAGAGGGCGCCTACATATCATGTGAAGAAAAAGCTCCATAACGCCGATGGGAGATTAGTTCCGCAGATTCTGAAGGCAGATTTGTGGTCAACGTCAGAAAATGCACCTGACGGTACAGGTCCCACCACAAAAGGCCACTTCGATCTGGGGTCCACACCTAGTTAGAATCTTCCCTTTCCCGTTTTCGGCCCGCGACGGATTTACAACTGGAAGTCACTTTAGGCTACGGTACCCTGACGGTAACACTGGATTTAGATGCTTACCACAACAAAGGAATTCTAGAGGTGTACGCGTTTACACATCTGACAGTTAGCGAGGTTAGGGAGTGATATCATAAGTATGCTCTCTTGCAAACTTGCCAATTTCATCAAAGCTTTTGCTGAAGTGGGTGCAGATGATGGTCGCTACCCAGCACTATAACTTTCTCCACTGCTCTCGCATCAGATTTGTTAGGCATTATTCACAGTCTGCGACCATGACGAAACGACGGTTGGGCGAAAAGCAAAAAAAAATACGGATTTATCGGAGAATCGCCAACCGCTCGTTTCGCCAAACAGCCGCGTTTCGGCGGTTGGGCGAAAAGCAGTAGATGTGTATCGATTTCGCTGGCGAAAAATGCCAGGGTTTGTCAAAACGCCCGCCGATTCCTATCAAAATCCTTTCTCTCAACCCTTGGACTCTTCGCCTAACCGCCAGTCGATACAGCTCTTCGCCGAAGCGTTTCTTTTGAGAGAAACGCAGGTTACCAGACTGTGAGCAATGCCTTATAATTAGTTGATTCAGTGGTAAATATAGAAACCAACTCTGCTCTCATTCGGATCGATCGTGCAGAAAGGAAAGTTCTCGGCTTGCGCTTGAGACTTTGTGAGCACATTAAAGAATGTACTTTTCCCAACATTCGGTAAGCCAAGGATGCCGATCTGAAATCAATGGCACTAACACAAATGTATTTCCTGAACTGCAATAAAATAATGAAGTTGTGTAGATATAGCATTCAAGCAAACTCAACAGTGAATTAAAATTGCTTAAGAGAACATCAGCAACAGCAGCTTTATAAGCCTATTCGAGTAAAAATCTGACTAGAAACGTCTTGCAATCATTCACTAGGACAAACGACCTCTAGAATTGGTACACAGAGGCTAAAAGCGTGGCAAGTTGTAACAAAATAATCAGGGGTTTATACTTTCAACTGCAATATCGGAAACAAAGGACAGCCCTAACTGCGTGAAAGAGCATCGATTTCTGTGCCCAATTTCTCTCTTCACGTAAACTTGTCACGCGCCTCAACAGTGGCAGGATAGTTCGAGGCCAACTTGCGGGTCTGGGTGAGTGATTGACAGACTGATTAACAGACAGTGACTGCAGACCCAGACTCGACAACCTCACCTGACCAGCGTTCTACTCTTGAAAACCCAAAAGTTTGGTTCTAGCGGTATGCAGTCGCCTTCTCCAGACATTTCGAAAGGCCAATAGTCAGTTGCTCGAGGCAGACAAGTAACGAAATCCCATCTAAAGCAGGGGTCTGCCAAATGGCGGTGAGGCGCACGCGCGCAATCGCGCGAACGCGGCATGCGGTAGGCATTTTGTAAATGCCTGTCGACACTTCTGCACTGAATTAGTAGTGATACTGAACTAAACGAATTATGTCAGTTTCATTTTATGTCGAGGTTACATACTGTGGCTAATTAGAACTGGTAGGTTTTACAGGTCATTTCTACGGGCTTCAGTGCTACACCACTCTTCCGAGTTTTTATTGATGAAAACCACTCGATTCTAAAACATTTCATCAGGTCATCTCGTCCAAAACGAGGGCGGTTTCATTCATATAAAGCGGAGAGGAAAACGGGCAAAAATGTAGTATTTTGCCTTTGAGTGAAGTAGGTCTCTTTTTCATCAGTGACTTCACTCACAGTGCTCCGGAGCGTTTGGACCACTGGCACCTTCGTTTTTTCAACAACTGCGAGCAAATTCTTGATGCCGATCCTGGCGAATGACAAAACGTCGCGCTTGCCCTTGGACTGGGCTTTCGAATGATCGAAATAGTTGAAATCTCGCGGCTGTAGGTAGGAAGATTAAGGCGACTGAACCCAGGTCTGGTCCAGGCCAACATTATCTGCGTCCAAGTACTGCCCAATAATATGGTTACTCCAGCCTGTCACTGTAACGAGACTTGCCATTGTGATGAGCAATAGGCAATATCCCGATTGCGACTGTTTTGTTCCCTGTGCAGAACCACTTGATAGCCAAAGTGCAGAAATCCATCACCATGATGAACATCCCCTTCGTCCCACGAACTCCCGGCTCATTCATTTATATTAATATAAAATTGACACTTGTTAGTTTCGGCTTGGAGTTCAAGACTGTCCTCATTTCGTCTAGAACCTCGGTGCGTTTTCACAGTACTGAACGACGTTTTAAGCGAAGGACATCGGTGCTACAGTCATCGAATCGGTTCTGCGTTCGTGCTTCAGAAAATGAAAAAAGAAAATGAGGCATCCAAACCCCCCCCCCCCTGTTGGCCATCCTCGATTTTTCGGACACAACTCTGGCAACGGTTGCAGGAATGTCAGTCTCGCACTGAAGCTCTAAGGGTCCAGTCTCTGTAATCAAACAATCGACGCTTGACTTCATCTACGCGCTTTTCTCCTAAGGGATGAACATATTACGGGGCATTCACCGACGATAATTTTTTCCTTCTTTGTACTTCTGAAGATGATTATCCATATTCCGTTTCGTGAACAACATTATACGCAACTACTGGTGCGGCGCAAATCAAGTTTGAGCTGCGGACCTTCCTCTTACAAGGTCCGATTCCATAGTCTGGCACTGGCGTGTTCTTCTCAGTTTCTCAAGATTTCCTTGTGTGAGCGGGCTAGCCAAATTTCACTGATACACAGCTAAAGGTACCAGCTTCCAAGCGGCATAGTAGCCCGCAGCCTTAGCCCTTTTGTTTTCCTGCTATTCCCCTATATTTCTCCAAGTTTTCGAATGATATGACAATATAAGCTAGAGCCAGATGAATGTGAGGTTTTGTCTGTGGGGATGAGGAGTTTCGAGGTGGCCGCATAAAATTCTTCGTATAGAAACTCCTCTCGCTGGTTAGTGAGCAGTGGTTCACCTAATCGTAGTCACTTTTCGCCAGTCTCTCACGTTTTATGGGTTATTTTGCTACTTCCAGATATTGGTGTCAAAAAAAAACAAGGTTAACACGCGTTGTTCCCATATTGAACGATTTAGCTAAAACAGCACAATGAGGGCAGAGTTGGGTTCGTTTTTAGCCGAAAGGGGATTAGTTTGCGGTATCAGAAGGTGTACTGCTGCAAGCAGCTGCATTGCCCAGCGGTGGATATACAGAATGGTACTGAATTCACTTCGCAGCTTTGCAGTTTTCAACAACATTTCACAAAGTGCTACTATCGGATTTCCAATTTTACTGCCTAACTGAGAGACTTTTCCACCATCTGATTCATATGGAGATATTTGACTGAGGTACTTTGCTGTGCTTCAATCACAAAGCTTTTAATTCAGTAGCGTATACAGGTCACACCATGGTTAGAGTATACCCCACCCCTCCGTCGAAGTGGCGTATCTACTTCAGGTAAGCCAACTGTCACCACCTTCGTGCAGCAAAATAAGAAGCTGCTATTTTGACTACTGTACTTACCACTCAAGAAATATGTGATACTACAACTTGAGCTTTCGACGAAGTTCTGAGTTCTCGGATTCGGAACGGAAGGATAAACGATAGAACTGCAGGTTCAATAAATAGTTGTGAGAATATAAGTGGCTTATTGCAGAGAGCGAAAACTTACCCGAAGATTGGTTCCCAGACGTCCAAGTAAGGGTACACGCTCAACCTCTCCCTTCTTTTTTGGTGGCATCCTTCAGTTCTGACCAGAGCGACCCGCTCACTAGCTACCTTGGAGATTCAAAAAAATGTCGCAAACTTTTGGGACACCCTAATATTAAAGGCATGCAAGTTTTACATTGATCTCAATAACAGGACGTTAAAAGCTGTAGGTAACAAAGGAGTGATAGCACACAAGACGAAAAAAAACACTCGACACGTACTCAATTTATTCCAAAACACGTTTTTCCAGAACAACATTCACTGAAACCTGGTCAGCGTCAGAAAATAACAAACAGTTCTATCACACAAAAAAAAACAGACAGCACATAGTGTTTCAGTTATATATAACAAAAGTAAGGAGTTCATTCACTTCACCACGTCAAATAACTCGCAAGCAACCTCGTATGTTGCTTCGTGAGCGGAATGTTTTACATGAGATCGCACTAGAACTGCTGACGCGGTGGCATAGGAGGCATACCGGGCGGTGGCGCACCGTAACCCGGCTGCATCATACCCATTGCCGGACCACCTAGAAAGTAAGGAAATCTCGCGGGAAAGGAACAACTGAACAAAAAAAAATTACTTACCAACACCCCTGACTGCTCCAGCGAGACCAGCAGCAGGAACCGGTGGCATGCCAGGCGGCATTACAGGCATCCCCCTTCCCACTGGCTTCGACTGACCAGGTCCAGCGAGGCCTCCTGCTTTCGGCAGACGAACTGTATCTTCATCTTTTGGTGGGGGACCATCTACTGTCATCGATACAATGTGCTCTCCACGAAGTAACACAAGACCAAGTGTCCGCTTTTCTTCACCTTCGGCAATCTTAATCAGAGAAGTGAAAGGAAATGTTGTTGAAAAGCTGAGATAAGACCGTAATGTAAAGAACTAAAAATGTTAAAATGATTGGTACCACTATAAAAATTGCATGACGTAACCTTTTATAGAGGAAGAACGCAAAAGCAACTGTGAACGAAGTTGCATTACATTGTGGAATTGCGCTATTTTCATATCTTGCATTCAGTAGAGTTGCTTTCTAGGAGAATCGATGGGAGGCTGTTGTGCGAAAGGGAAAGGAAAGATCCTGGTTCAGAGAAAAAGGGGAGTAGCGCGATCACGTTCACAACACCAGATCAAAGCTATAACTTTACGTTCACACATTCGTACAAAACGTCGATTACCCTGAAATGCCGGTACTCCATAGCAACAGAGTATTACTACAGTCTCAGGTGATCTTCTTCACTGAACTCAACTTTAGATCAAAATTTTTGAAGCGAGGTTTGAACTAGGGATCACTACTCAGATTCGAAAGCGTATAAGCGGCAAAATAAACTTGTTGGTGGGGAAGGTGGATCGAATCGATAGGAACTAAAAAAATCAACCTCCAAGAACCCCAGCAAACCACTTTTTGGATATCGTACTCGGAAGCCAACATTGTTTTTACATGCTAAAAGCATCACTGAATACGACGTAGTTCTCTACAGATCAAAACTACTGGGAGTGAACATCTTATGATCTACTGATTTTACTGGAAACGAAGATCAGGAGAAGTGTTGGCATATCACGCTACTCAGTTTCGCTTCTTAGTGCGGCACAGAAAATTAGAAAACTTCGAGTAATTTATCAGAAAAGTGCTGAGTTATGGGGCTGTAGGTTAGGATTCCACGAGAGGTCACGGCTGCCATGTTTCGCCTCGCCGCACGCGGCAATTGCTGCATGATTGGACGAGACTCATACAGTCGTGCTATTAAGATCCCGGCCCTTCACATACTTCTGGCTCCACGCAAACCTGCTTGGCATTTTGCCAAACCAGAATATTCGATTTGACGTCAATATTTTTGAATGGCAGCTGTATTTATTCAACGGATTGCTGTAATTCTTCAATACGATTTACTTTTCCCGTCTGGCCGCAAATCCTAGGCCCTTACAATACCATACGATCGAGGGCAAAATAATGATTTACCCTAAAGTGATTTTGTAGATTGCTGATGTATTCTCTAAACATTATTTCTATGTAAATATACGTTGTTTTATGTTAACAGTTGAACATCGAGCCTACTCCTTTCATAGTTTTCACACCTGCAACTAATAAAGCAGACTGTTGGAAATCTCATGGACTATGCAAGCGCCGCGCACATGCGAAAACTGCCGCGTCGCGGTGGAAGGCTAACCTCTCGTGGAGTCCTAACCGTTGCCGAGTTATGGGCAAAAGTCAGACTCCAGACGGGAGACGAATCCGCATCTCCTGCTTACTGGGTTGTTACGTTATCCATTACGCTACCGAGGCCGCTGTTACCCTCTCAGCTCAACGGCTTTTGTGCCTTATAGCACTAACACGCTTGACGTGTTGAGCCCGTTAGCCGACATCGGCAAAGAAACGCGAGGCTATGGCGCACGCCCACTCACTAAGAGCGCGATCACGCACACCGGGAGGGGGGGTCATGTTCGTTCTTGTTTATTGTTCCTGTTCTTTTTTCCTTTTTCTTCTTTCTTCCTTTGTGTACATAACGCCCTCCTAATTTTAAGGAACGTTTCGAAATATCTTTGAGTTATTTATTATTTCCCATATTAGTACTAAATATACAATATGCTAATTATTATACTGATTTTGCATCTGAGTACGTTCAAGCAGAGTATTGAACATCTTGTTCCAAAAGTAAGACACGCAGAACTTTCAACAGCGATTGATGTTGTTTCTCTCCCTTCCCCCGATTTTGCCAGTCCTATAAAAATTTTCACTTTACTTTTGTCACATTGTGTTTGCTTTTTTTGTTCTGCCGTCCTCCAGGTCTATACACAACCTTTCCTTTCGACGGTTTCTGCAAATCGTCAGTATTGCGAATATGAACAAAAGGCCTAAAAGACATCAAAAAAGGTCGAACTTACTTTTATATCCTTTTTGGAACTGCCTATTGGAGGCAGGATACAGCATCGTGATGTGAGAAATGGTGATATCAGTACGACTCCCTTCCCAGAACTTTGTTGTTGTTGTTGTTTGTTGAGTTGAGTTGAACATGAAGGAACATGACCCCCTCCCGGTGTAAATTCACCCACAGTAGCGCAATCGGATCGCGCGATCGCGAAGTCTGAACGCGCTCTAACCATCGACGTCACCATACCACTTTATGTCACTGCAGATGGAATCACAGCTGCAACGGTGCTCTGATGGAATTAACTTGGATTGAAACTTTAAATTTGATGGTTTTCATCTCCTGTTACCCACCCGAAGTCCATGTGCCCTGCCAGCTATTTCACTTATTGGAACAACGTTTGCTGCTGTGCTTCGTGACTCGCCCCTTTTCACGCCGCGCTTTTCAGGTCTTATCAGCTGTTTTCACTTTCTGTAAGTGGTGTTCCTATCTCACACCCTACATCACATCTTGAAGCCAACGTCTCACTGCTATTGGGATGGGCGCTATAAATTTCTGACACATGCACACATAAGCAGTAACAGACATACTTAGTGGATTCTCTACAGAATGAAGTTATTTCTGTCTTAAGGGTACGCTCCGCGTTCAACTGATGTTCAATTGCCTTCTTTGGACTAATGGTTTTGCACACAAGCATAGAGAATGTACCACTTTGGCAGCTCAAAAATACGTGAGAGAGGCATGAACCGCTCGAAGCCACTGTCCAGCGCTGACCATGTAACGGTACACTTTCATTTCTAAAGGTATTTTGCTACGGCGGTTCCGCTACTAGCTCTATCCATTTCGAATGGTGAGAGCGAGGTTATGAAGAGAAGGAGCGTTCCCAACAGTGAGAACTCCGTTGTCTCTGCCTCTGTGTAGAAATATGGTTCGGCATAGGTTCTATATGGGGCACTTCGAGCTTTCTGCTTTTTTTTCACTTTTGTGCCGTTCGACATCTTGTCAAGTATTTAGCCGCACAATAACCATTTTTGAACACGGACGTGCTTCTAGACAAAAAAGTAGGGAAGTTTTGCGCGACGCTGTATGGCACTGCTCAACCATGTTACCATCCACACGTAAAGCACACTTACCTTCTTTCCAGGCTTCGGCTTGATTTGACGGAACTCTTCACAATCGGCAAGCAAAATATTCATGTGCTTATCGAACGCTGGAATTAGGAAATACAAAGGAATAAAGTCGGATAAGTATGATAGTAAAGGAAATTGCGCATCTAGAAACAACCTAACTGACCTTTGAAATACCCCACGAAAGTACGTGAATCTTGCAGGATGACCTTCATCCTAAAGTTTAGATGAGCCATCATCTTGTTGTTCTTACTGATCGTCTAAATTTAAATTGTGAGGTAGCCATAATTTGTACACGAAAAGGCAGCTGAAACATGGATGTGTAAAGAAACAAAACCAGCAAACCTACCATCTTGAATGCGTGGCTTTATGAGTTGTGAGAATCGCAATACGGCTCAAGAGCTCCCTTAAAAAGACAAAAACTTTCAGTAAGACACGAAACATAACGTCTTCGCAAAACTTTCAGCAAGATGCTGACTTCACAACGAACGGAACACATCTTCTAAAACAAAGCGGTGATGATCAATATCCCGAGCTGTGGTTTACCTACCCCGGAATTCTTTCGCCCCTTGAGCAAAAATCTCGGCACTTTTGAACTGTTCTTACCCCGGTCTGAAGAAATCAGGGCGGTTTTTAACCGACTGCTTTCTTATGAGAGCAGATTTGGCTGAAAATTTGCTCACTGCGGAAGTCCGACCTCCTGAACACGAATATCGCCCGAATACCCGGCGCCCGCGTCACAGGCGCTAGCGCCAAAATACCCTATCACCGGATTTGCTGAAAACTTATTTACAGGGGTTATTTGACATCCTGGTTACGAATATGACATTTATTCCTGACGCCGGCGCTAATGTGATTGACACTATGATCATCTGCGCTCTGCTGAGGCTAAGCCTGGCCTGAAGGGAATCACCCTCTCTGCCAGGTTCGGCCTTAGCAGAAGGCTAAATGGCGCCGATGTCGAGGAATAAATGCCACATTCGTGATCACGGCATCAAACAATCGTGTTAAGCAAATTTTTATCGAAAGTTTTGTTAGTTTAGTTTTTTTTCAGAGAATGAGAAAACTGGTGTGGCGCCAAATGGCGCTAAGGTCAAAAATAAATGCCATATTCATGATCAGTAGTCAAGTAACTCCCGTAAAGAGGTCTTCAACAAAGTTGGTAAGAAAAGTAGTGGCATCATGTTGGCGCTTATTGGCGTCAAAAATGAAAGTCATATAGATGAGCAGGACATCGTATAAGTAGTGGCATCATGTTGGCGCTTATTGGCGTCAAAAATGAAAGTCATATACATGAGCAGGACATCGTATAACATCTATATGCAGACTTTCAGCGCAAAAAATTCAATAGCGCCGAAGAAATTTAATGAAAACAGAGCTCGCAGCATTTCATGGCTTTCCAGGACGAAGAAGAACACCGGATTGTGCAGTCGCCCAATCTTACTAGTTACATTCGAGATAAAGACATACGCAATAACATTGAAACAAAGACAATGAAGTTAAAATCTTTGACGAGCTGGCCGAAATCTCTCACATTGAATAGAGCAGGTGTGGCGCATTTCGAATTGCCGGAACGATACAAATGCGGGCTCAGGACATCTATCAACCGTGAAATCTCACTTTCTTTCATTTTGTCCCCATTTCTTTTTTCCCCTCATATCTCCCACTCAAAGATTCAGTCAAGTAGATGCCTTCAGACTGACGTAGCGATAATAAATGTGGTAAAAAGATGAATTTCTATGGGATAACTGAGCTGATCCGTATGGGAAAAAAGACGCAGTCAGATGCAGAGAGGCAGAGGCCACTGGCGCCATCAAGGGCAGAGAGCAGAGGGTCAGTGGCGCCCCTTTTGAAACAGGTTTTTCCCCGGCAAAAGGAGCCCCTTCTCCCCGAAAACCTCTTCGAGTTCAGTATATGCCGCATTCTATAAGTTTGACGACATTAGACTAGTTTGTACCCCCCAAGACTACTGTGGATGAGTATAAAAAATGGACGACCTGTGGTACCCTTCGTAGTGTTGGACGAAACGAAGGTGTCGGGTCCACGACCTGGATGGGCGTGGCCCGAGATTACGGTATCGCAGGAAGCTGGCGCAAGGCGACTGGAAGACGAGACGACCGCCAGTGGTAGTGAGTACTCACGATGTGACGGTCCATCCCCGACCGTCTTCCACTCCCTTCCTTTCCCCTTTGATGTTATTATGATAAATATGTATAGCCTACTAACTCTTTTGTATTCAAAAACCGCTACACACCTTCAGATACAGGAGTCATGAACCTGTAATCTCATATGGAGGTCCCGTGGTGTAGCGGTAAGCACTCAGGACTCTGAATCCTGCGACGGGAGTTCATATCTCCCCCGACCGCCTCTTCCGATACCGATCCCGGTTTCCAAGATGAACAGGATCTGTGTTAATTTTCCTGCGTCTTGATATCATCTCCTATGTCTGAAAGAATTGTTATGTTTCCCAGTGTTGTTGAACGACAGCGCTGCTTGTTGAGCGAAGACGTGGTTATCTTTCCGGTAACTCTCTGACCTCACCTGCATTCATCCATATAATCTATCACTTGATCGTTCAACAGTTCAACATGTGGTTTACCTCACTACATCTGAGGACATTGGAATGTCATGTGGTGGAGCTCGAGGACGAGCTCACTCTGAAGGAATGGAGATGTCGGGTCCACGACCTGGATGGGCGTGGCCCGAGATTACGGTATCGCAGGAAGCTGGCGCAAGGCGACTGGAAGACGAGACGACCGCCAGTGGTAGTGAGTACTCACGATGTGACGGTCCATCCCCGACCGTCTTCCACTCCCTTCCTTTCCCCTTTGATGTTATTATGATAAATATGTATAGCCTACTAACTCTTTTGTATTCAAAAACCGCTACACATCTTCAGATACAGGAGTCATGAACCTGTAATCTGATAAAGGACCAGCGAATTGAAGCATTTACGTGTCTGTCGGCTGGAAAATTGTCAACAGATCCAAGGCGCAGGGTACAACATCGTGATGTGTGAAATGACGGTGTCAGTACGACCCCCCGGAAAAGAGCCCTAGTGCACCCCCCCCACCGTTTCTCGCTCTAACTATTCGCTCTAACGAGGAGTAGATACGTAACGACTCGCAAGCGCTTGCGGCTGCGCTACGATTCCATGGCAAACTAGCGATGGAGCAGATCAGTTGGCCGGGTGAAATCGCGAGGATTTCCTGGGGGTGATAGCTTGAGGTGCGGCGCTTTTGAGAAACGGAAGGCGGCATGTTGAAGCAATGTCTCTACTGTTGGTTTTTTTACCTACTCGCAATCTGAATCTTCCCCCATTCGCGGAATGTTCCCATGGGTTACGGACGCGTTAGTGGTAAATCGCGAGCAGGTTTTTATGCATCAGGCAAGGATAACTTCTTTCAGGCGCAATCTTTTGCAAAACCAAAAACGCCATCAGATAGCCTAATATTTCCTCTATTGAATAAACTGTACATTCCTGAAGATCCGCTGGTCTAGAAGACATTTTTGATGGGTCTGCCTGGGCGACACTCTGAGCCAATCAAAAGCTCGACTCCCTCTGTGCCATTGTAAGGGCACTCATTCGTGAACTTAATATGCCTTAACATATTCCCGTCGAACTGAGTCAGTTATCATTGATGGATTTTTTTCTCGGTGTGCGCCATTACGCTTCTGCGCAGAGGTGATGGAAAGATGTTATTCTGATTTAGGTGATTTTATCATGCAAGCAGATGCTTGTTTGGGGTTTGGAAAGGTTGGCATGCAGGAGTTTGAGATGTATTATTCAGCCATCTACGTACCTACAAGTTCATGATAACTATTGGTCATGTACCTTGCTTTTACGGCCCTCCCCGGCTAATGCCGTTTGGACTCCAGCAACTTCGGCACCGAGCTCATTTTTGAATTACCTAGTCGCCAAACCCGCTGAAAATATGTACACAAGGGTTATTTACCATCCTGATTACAATTATGACACTCATTCTTGGCGCTGGCGCCAAGGGATGACACTACGATTACCTCTTGGGCTCAGCCTCAGCGGAGCGCAGGTAATCGTAGTGTCATCCATTAGGGCCAGCGGCAAGATTGAATGTCATATTCGTAATCAGGATGTTAAACTACCCCTACATACAAGTTTTTAGCGGATTTGGTAACTTAGACAATTTAAAAACGAGCTCGGTGCCGAAGTTGCTGGAGTCCAAACGGCATTAGCGCCCTCCCCCTCCCGACGAACTTCTACGACACCACAACGACGCCTTATTCTGCCAAAGAAACGTTCGGGAAAACGGCGAAAACGTCGAGAATGTATTCATAGTTCATCATCCGATCGCTTGGGTCGCACAATACGATCGCAGTTTGAGCCATCTTATTGGGCTTTGTTCCTATTGCAGGATTCAACATTAGAGATTATGGGACGTTCGTCAGCTGAGCAACAAGAAACAAAGTAAAAAAAGGGCCTTATCTAGCACGTAGTGACCGCCTTCGAGCCACTCCCCTTTTTGCGTCTTTTCGAGGAATTTTGATTTTTTTTCAAAATATTATTACGTTTTCGCTCTGCTACAAGACGCTCATCCCACTTTTGAAAACTGGCTCGAATCAGCAGGTCACAGCCTCAACATGTAGGTTAGAAACTCGGTCGCCACACATGCTAATCTGAGACATTTTTCAAAAGCGGGCGGGGCTCCCACGAAGCAGGCGGAGCATCTCATGGTGAATGGGGTTTCAGTAGCGATCCGAAGATGAGAAAGTCTCAAAGAATGACCGTAATTTCGCAGAAAGATGTGAATCTGGGCGTGGCTAGTGAGGCGGAGCTTGGTGTGGCAGTGCCCGTCTACGAGTATCTTCGTAGTGAAAGATATTAGGTATAAAATTTTCAGCGTTTTGTGCACCTATTTTTTGTACATGCACTGCTGATTAAAAACTCATTCTGCCTTGCTTCTCAGTAGCACATCCTGTAGAGAATTTCTTGCGCTATCTGATGGTATAATTGCCGTTTTACCATTGCTTGATAAACCCCCCTTTTTCAAGATTTTTTCAAGCATGTGAGAAGAGCCCTTCGGACGATTTTTTTTCTTCGACTATAAATTGGAGCAATCCGCAATCGAAACAGCTCAACAAATTAACCAGGTGTGGGGGCCCAATAGTGCTAGAGAAAGCACTGTGCGGCAATGGCTCAACAAATTTCGTTCTGGAAATTTCAGCCTTGAAGGTGAACCTCATAGGTCGACCTAAAGCATTATCTGACGAGGTTCTTAGGGGATTTCGGAGGCTGACCCATCCCAAACAGTTCGAGAGATAGCAGAAGAGCTAGGGTTGGCAAATCCACTGTTGCAGATGGTCTGGAACGCATTG